CAGTCAGATCGGTGAACTATGCGCCTACTTTTCGCCTGTTCGAAGTGACGACATGCTTCGATGACCGACTTCACCGTCGAGCAGTCCTTGTACAGCAGAAAATTGAAGGCGTCATTGGCGATTCCTTTCAGGATGTGTCCGACTTTGTCCTCGTCGAGCATGTCCTTGTCGACCTTGCGGCTCAAAGCCAACATGTCCTGGATGTATGCGATGCACGTCTCTGTGGATGTCTGGGCACGAGTCGCAAGCTCTTTCTTTGCGGCCACTTGACTTCCGATGAGTTTCCAAGATAGATAGCGCAATTTCTGCCTACAGACGTCCCAGCTGTTCAACTCTTCTTGATGTGTCTCGTACCAGAGTTTTGCCGTGCCATGCAAGTAGAAGACGATGTTCGCCAACATAAGCATCGGATCCTAATAGTTGCTGCTGCTGACGCGCTCATATAGAACCAGCCAGTCATCGACGTCTATGCCACTTGTGCCGTTGAATGGGCCTGGGTCATGAGGTTGCACCACAATGATCGGTTGCGGGGCTGAGGGATCTTGTTGACATTGAGTAGCCTGGTCAGTCATCGTGGTAGCTGCATTGCGCCGTTTGCTGCGAAGATCCAGCTCGTGGGGCTGTATAGCGAGTTGTACCCTGCACTTTCCACTAATGATGTTACGGGGAATAATGTATACACGATGAATATACTGGCGAGCAAATGCGTACAACGCTGCTGCAGTTCGAGCACGTTCCCCTCAGCACTTCGTCTTCATCATCCTCAGGCATCTACTTAGCCCATGACAATATTTATGCATTGCAGCAGTCCTGACTTGCAGACTCTGCTACAACCACAAACAGATCGACTCGTGAGAGTGTTCATTCAAACCTGCAAGATATAAAGGCAGCAGGGGTAAAGGTTTTCAGTAAAGCGTTGTCAGACCCGCAGTTTGTGCAGAAAGTTCGAAAAGTTAGACGCCAAAGAGGTTCAGCGTCCAACATTGTCATACATAGTACAGTCAAACTCCACTTCATTGAACTTCGCTTTAATGAAATTTCAGCTTCAACAAACGTTTTTCCATTCTCTGCCCGCATCCCATAGGCTCTAATGTATTAAATCTTCCTCCACCACGAACCACTTTTTTATTGTTTTCCTGGTTCAACGAAATTTTCCCGGGACACGAGTCACTCGATCAGCCACAAATCAAACCACGCTAACTAGTAAATTGAAGTGACAACACTTTTTATTCTAAAAAAGACACGAAAAAAAGTGCATACGACAGCGGCTGTCCTTGCATTTTTTTTTTCGCGCTGTCTCTAACAAAGAAATTCTTATTAGCTGGCCTAAAACGATTGTAAACACACCAAAGTTGACTTAAGTCCATGTAACCCGTGCAATGCTGCTAAACCATGATACCTTAAGGGATGCCATCGTTTGTGGTAGATGACGATGCTCTGCAGCATTCCGTGAAGCATGGAGTTATACCGTGAAAGCCTGCGAGCTTGGCCAGCCATAGCAGAGCCGAATACACACGTGTGTTATTGGCTGCTGGCTCATCTTTTTTTTTTTTTTTCACTTGTTCTGTGGTGCATTCCAGGGTAGTTTCCAGCTCGTGCTTCGTCTCCTTAGCTTATCACATTGTCAGCTCCGACCTGATATTTTTTTTCTTTCTTCAGTCTATTGCAGCGAGGGCTTATGGTGGCGCCAGAGAGTCAGAAACAGAAGTTTCTTTTCGTTGAGCAAAAGGTGGAATAATTGTTGCTGCAGCATCGGGGTGAAAGAGGGGTGTATTGTTGAGCTCGCTGTCAACAAAACTAAAGTCTGAAGTGAGCGTCTTAATTGCGCTAGTGACAGGCACATCTGCCCATTGAAAGATGACCGAGCCAGCCCATGAAGGCAGTGTATGCGTGGTTTTGCAAAATGACGGCTATGAAAATACCGATCAGTGGCAGCTTAATTCAGTAGAAAGCACAACTACACCTGCATTTTAGGCATCAAGGAAAACTTCAAGGCAAGTACCGGGTATTGCAACTGTTGTAAGGAGTGCCATGAGATCTATTGTAGTAAGACGGTAAGTTGGGCCAGTTGGTTAGGATCCATCGTGAACTTACATACAGCACAACACCAGAAAAAAAATACAGGACAGGGAAGGAGTAGAACAGAAAAAAAAGATGGCGCTGTCTTTTCTTTCTGTTCTACTCCTTCCCTGTCTTGTATTTTTTTCTGGTGTTGCGCTGTAAGTAAGTTCACGATGGGTGCCATGAGATCGTCGGAAAGGTGCTGTTTGGAAAGTCCGCTTCCGCAGACCGCAATGGTCCGTCATTGTGGATCGCGTCGAGCGCTGCTGACATCGCCGAGAAGTATGCTGCGTCCAACGTGTACAGTGCGGACGATACCGGGCTCTTTTATAAAATGCAACCAGCATATACGCTATACTTCAAAAGCAAACTGTGCTACGGAGGCAAGCAGTGCAAAGAGCGAGTCACTGTGTTGCTCTGTGCTAATATGGACAGGTCCGACGAATGGCCCCTTCTCGTTATTGGCAGGAGTGCCAAAACGTGGTGCTTCAAGGGCTCAAAAAACCTGTCAGTGAAGTATGTTGCCAACAGCCCTTCATGGATGATGAGAGCCATTTTCACAGACTGGATTGTTGCGTTCGACTGCGACATGAAAAAGCAGGACCTTTGCTGCTGCTGGATGATTGCTTGTGGCTGGATAATTGCTCAGCACATCGCCTAAACAGCAATGTCAAGCTGAAGAACATTGCGGTGAAGTTTTTTCTGGCAAACTGCGCGTCGCTGATTCATATTTTCGATCAAGGCACCATCAACAGCTCAAAGCACACATACCGATTAAGGCTTCTTCAGCGAACTCTGTTGAACACAGCATGGCCATGACATCAAAGTCGACCTATTCACGGCTATGCGAATGTTAACTGCCACATGGATGTAGGCACGGCATGACGTTGTTAAGAAATGTTTTTGGCACACAGGACTTTGGCCTGAAGAGATGAACTTGGCCTGCACAAGCTACATATTTCAGATACGGTTACAGAAGGAGGTCCCAAAGTTTTAGAGAAACTGACAGGGGGATCTCCTATGGCGACATGAATGGGGTAATTATTAAAAAAAGCAGAGCAAAAGGTGCAAATTTGTGAGCAATGACTAACGAGTTTAATTAACAATACAATTGATAACATAACATGATGTTACGACATACAAGCTGCTGATGACGTTGGACTAAGGCTTAATGCAGAAGCTTCCACAGTATGGGCAGCACTCAAGGTTATCGGCATTGTTTCCGAGAGCACAGTGACAACATACAAGCTGCCAACAACATCAGACCGGTGCAAGACGCACTAACTGCCATAGCGTGGGCAGCACTTGAGGATGCCAACATTGTACTCGAGAGCATTGCCGTGAGCGATTACATTAATGCAGACGGGATCGTGTCTGAGGAATGCTCACATGGCTAACGCCACTGCCGATTCATCAGACGACAATGAAGCCACGCATGGTGTTCCGGCAGTCCCAACACCAGTGACTGCGTCGCAGGCCATGAACTTTTTAAATACATCCTGCGTCGTTTCCTTGGTGCCTATGACGGCGATGTGGCCTTGTAGCTCCTCACACAATGCGAGCAGTGCATTCTGCTGTTGCTCGTGCCTAAAGTTGAAGCAGTCGAAAATAAGTGATCTTTTTAAGCTTTTGAAACAAAATGCTCTTTTAAGTGTCGTGCATATCTTTTTCTCTTTATTTACCACTTTTTCCGTGATAAAGAAATTCCGGCCACGACGGAATTTTTGTGATCCCCGTGAATGTGGTTGTAGCAGAGTTTGCCTGCCCATATTCAATAATAAAAACCAAACGATTGGTTTCCCCATACATAGAATGTTTGTTTTGTTCAATGCTGTACCTTTTCTTTTTTTTCCCTGCCCCTTCTCCTCCTCCCTCTTAGGGGCCTCAGTGCCCTTAGACACTGGGACACAATAAAGCTGCGATATGATGAAGCTTTATAGTATGTAGATTTGTCGACTCTTATAATTTTTGTGCTTCAAGAATTATATAAAGTATTTGGGTGCTTTTTTTGTTGCTAACTTGATATTAATATCTAAGCGAATATTTAAGTTAATGTCAAGTTCATAATTAAGCTAACATTTAAGTGTAATGTAAAAAAAACACCATAATTTGTTTTGATCTCATTCCTATTAAGGACTGCTACTTTGGCAACACTTACTATCTGGCTGCTTTTACTTCTATATTGTGGTAGTCAGCTTTGCTGGTTTTGTCTCATTTCAGCCACCAGTTCTGGTATTTAAATACATGTATTTGGTTTTATGGCACATTCGATAACTAACCATCTTTTCAGTTATTTGTGTCTTGCAATTTACAGTGATTAGTGTCTGTGGAATATTAATATTTATGAAACGCTTCAGGGATGCCATACACTTCAGAAGTTTTTGCCCTTTACTCTTAAACTACCAATAGCTGCTGCAAACAAGCATTTTCTCTGCTCCTGCCCCACCGCGGTGGTCTACTGGCTAAGGTGCTAGGCTGCTGACCCGCAGGTCGCGTATCGAATTTCGGCTGCATTTGCGATGGAGGCGGGAACGCTGTGAGCCTGTGGGCTCAGATTTGGGTGTACTTTAAAGAACCACAGGTGGTCGAAATTTCCGGAGCCCTCGACTAAGGTGTCTCTCATAATCATATGGTGGTTTTGGGACGAAAAACCCCACATATCAATTTTCTCTGCTCCAAAAGCACTCATGGCTGCTCTAAAGCAGTATATCTTCTCCTTTGAAATCTTCTCCAAAAGGGAAAAAGTCGCTTTTATCACTGCCGTATTTTCATGCTTGCATATAATCTTGCTTACGATGCCTTTTCTCATAACAAGTGGGATATTTCTTGTTAAGTAGAAAGGTAATTTATTAATATAGCTCAACTTAATCTTTCTTTCTTTGGGTTAATTAGATATACTATTGAATCTTGTCCTAATACTGAGCCTTCTATAATTATAGCAAAGAAACCTGGGATGCCTCCTGTTGAAAGTTTTCCTTCTCATAAGGCCACAGACGATGTGTGCGACATCTGCAAAGTCGTGGTAAAGTTCGTCTATGATGAACTGCAGGACAACAAGACTGAGGTAAGTTCCTGGGCTCATCCAGTCTTTTACTTTGCTTGTTCTTTTTCCATACTGCCATTGCTACTTATAACAAATTGTGGTAGAGCTGCTTGTGATGAGTGGGTCGTTTCAATGCGCTCACATGTTATGCAGTTTTCTTGGTGTAACACCTTTTGTGACACCTGTTGCCAAAATACAGATCTGCAAAGTGGGCACCTGTAGAGCTGCACAATAGTCTCCTCCTGAAGTGGGAAGCTGCTGTCGAAGCTGCTGCCACCACGGTTGATGATGAACCATTATGACTATTATAATGGACTGTTAACGAAATCTCTTATGATGGTTAACCAGCTTTGAACCTTCAACCCTTTTAACAATTCACATGTCATGACACCTGGAGTGACCTATATCAAGCAATTGTGAGACAAAAACTTGGAGGACATCAAATTTATTCATGTCAAGATTTTTGCGTGAGTGAGTAGCTATAGACCCCGTAGCAGCGATTCGCGATCTAAAACGCAACTGAGAAACGAATAACTATCACTTTTATTGATTTATATTACTTGGATCTAGCACTATTCAAAATGGGCCGGCGATCCTGCCATTTTTAGCGCTGGGAGCGCCAGTAGTAGCGCTATCTCGCGGTCACCTCCAGATCACGCCCCAGCTGACCACTTCTCTACAGAAGCCCCGCCGCGGTGGTCTAGTGGCTAAGGTACCCGGCTGCTGCCCCGCAGGTCGCGGGTTCGAATCCCGGCTGCATTTCCGATGGAGGCAAAAATGTTGTAGGCCCGTGTGCTCAGTTTTGGGTGCACGTTTAAGAACCCCAGGTGGTCAAGATTTCCAGAGCCCTCCACTACGGCGTCTCTCATAATCATATGGTGGTTTTGGGACGTTAAACCCCACATATCAATCAATCACTTCTCCACAGAAAAGAGTGACGTCAGGATCAGCTGCTCCGCAAACATTTCGTCTGCTAGGCAGACACACTCAGTCATGCCTAGTCACCTGCATTGCTGCCGTCGCCGTACAGTGTCGACTCGGGTTCAATATGATAGTCTGGAGTTTGGAATCCCCGCGATTCGTGACGTCGCGAATTATTTTTGCTTCAATCGACCTTTTCTGGAACAGTGATTCCGGAATGGATGCCGTTCCAAGCAGCACTGCAGAGGTGCCCGAGGATGCACGCTTCAGCCATGTTCGCTCGTGTGTCTCAGTTAGCTATATTGGTGTGTTTTGGCGTTCAAAGCATTCAGGTATACGCAGAGGGGTCAATGCAATATAGCTATCGCGAATGAGCATCAGCGGAGAAATAGAGCATGTTCTCTGCTTGTCAGGTTCTTCTTTGCGCCTCCAGATGGCCCCACCTATCCAGCCTCTCGTGGACGTAAAGTCTGCAGATGTACTAAAATTCAACGATACCTGCATGTTACCGTAATTACTCCACTAATGCGCACCTTTTTTCCTGTTAAGCGAGTTCATAAATCGCATGCGCGTTAGAATCGAGTACAAAAAAAAATGAATACGGTCATTCTATTGCCATCGTCATTCCAAAATGGCCGCCCCCTACGTGCGTGGGCATGGCGCGTCGCCCATTTCTGCCTATGTGTTTCCCATGTGCGGCACTTCGTACGTGTGCTGAGGAATTCGTCATCTTGGTGTGCATTAGCATCGACGGCATGGAAGGGCCGACTCCAAAAACTCGACAAGTGCACCACGATGCCCTGTTTATAGCTACAGTTCTTCATAATGATGTCACTTATAATGACCCAGCTGACATCGCCGATCAGTTTGCAAACTTCTTCTTTAACGTCGAGCACACCCTACCTTTATTAAATGAAATGGCCTTAGATCGCCTACCCCATTCGTTCTTTCTGTTTCCCACAACTCCAGATGAAATAATCAGCGTTATAGGTACCCTAAAAATGACGATTGCTGGCCTTGACGGCATTCACCCCTCCCATATAAAAATGGTAGCTCACCTTATATCAAATGTATTCTCTTCAATTGTGAATTTAATGTTTAGAACAGGTGTTTTCCCGCATGAACTGAAGCAGGGTAAAATAATCCCCGTACATAAAAAAGAAGATGCTTCGTTATTGAATAACTACCGCCCCATTTGCATCTTACCCTTTTTGAGCAAAGTAATTGAAAAAACTGATCTGTGCACGTCTCACAAGTTACCTGAACAAATTTGATATACTATCGCCTTGTCAATTTGGCTTCCGTTCCGGCTATTCCAGTGACCTTGCGCTAATCTCACTTACTGACCAATTGAAAAAGGCTATTGACAACGGTTACTATGCGGGCAGCGTTTTCATCGACCTAACTAAAGCTTTTGATTCGATCAATCATCACATTCTTTTCAATAAACTTGAAGCATTTGGTATAACTAGCCCAGCATTACTATTATTGCGTAGCTATTTCTGCAACAGGACACAGAAGGCGGTAATTTCTAATGCATATTCGTCAACCAAATTAACTAATATTGGTGTACCCCAGGGGTCCATTCTGGGGCCCCTTTTGTTTTTACTCTATATTAACGATTTGCCGAAATGCCTTTCTTCATCCAGTTGTATATTATACGCCGACGACACCACAATTTTTAACTCCGATAGCAGCATTACATCCTTAACTTGAAAACTAAACTTTGATCTGGCACAACTCGTTCGGTGGTGCAGTAATAACATGTTAGAAATTAACACGTCTAAAACAAAATTTGTTGTCTTCTCTTCACCACAAAAACCCTTACCTTCTATCCCTCCTGTTATAATTGCGCGCAATGACATCCCTGTGAGCGACTGCTGTAGATTCCTAGGCGTTGAACTCGACAGTAACTTGAAATACCACCAACATGTTGCATATATTAGGAAAAAAATGACGTATGGGGTTCGACTACTGATTAAATCTCTTCTTTATTTCAATCCATCAATACTTATGTCACTGTATTTTTCTTTTGTTCATTCGCACATTTCTTACTGTATTACTTCATGGGGTATCACATACACCACTCATCTTACTTCAGTTCAGACAATTCAAAACCAAGCGATCAGAATTCTCACGTCAAGCCCATATCTCTCTAACGCTAAGTCACTACTTCACGAAAACAATATATTAACTGTATCTGAGCTAGTTAAATATAACCTTGGTATTTACATGTAAAGAACTATAAATAACCAACTTCCACTCTCTATTACCATTCTCTGAAATAACACTGTCTCAAGGTTTGCCCTTAACAATAACTTTCTACTGCCAAAAGTTCGCACCATATATGGCAAACAAACCATTCATTTTTCAGGAATTTCTTTTTGGAATAGTTTACCTCCCGAGATTAAAGTATGCCGTTCCCTGAAGGTAATTAAATCGAAGTTAAAAATTCATATCATGTCAACTAACTAGCCTGTTTTGCTGTTTCTTAATTGATTCCTGTTCATTGTGAGTTGCGTTGTGTAATCACTTGTCATTGAAGTTAGCGCGTTATTCTTGCTTTTAAATTGTTTCTGTGAGATTACAAGGGTATATTCGTACTTTATTTGTTTCAATTGCATTTTACTGTAGCTCTGTCTCCCTGCTATGTACATCACAATCATTCTCAATTCTACATTGTACAAGAGGTTTCCTTGCAGTCTCTGACTATGGGACCTCTTTCTGTATATCATGCACATGTATTCTTCTTCATTTAGCACAATAAAACCTTCTGTTCTGTTCTGTTCTGATGCCGCTTTTAAAAGAAAAGTCATCGCGTGTGCCGAAACGGACGTAAGTCGGGCTGCATCGCGGTCGTTCGGAGTCCCCGAATTGTGCGTGCGGGACTGGCAGAAACAAAAGCAGAATATTGTCGACAACAAAGATTCACGCAAAGGCTTCAGCGGACCACAGCAGGGTCGGTTTCCGCAAATTGAAAGCTGCTTGGCGAGTATGTGATTGAGCAGTGAGCAGCACAGCAGTCCAAGACGACAGAACTGCTCCAAGTGCAGGCTATGCAGTTAGCCTTAGAAAAAGGGCTAATGCGGAGCCAGTTTAAAGCGAGCAGGTGCTGGCTAACTAACTTCATGAAGAGGAAATGCTTTTCCCTCTGAAGGCGAATGGGCATATGCCAAAAGTTGCCGGAGGAGTACGAAGTAAAGCTTCAGTTTTCAGAGGTTTGTCCTAAATTTGCGGCACAACAACGGCTCCCTGCTTGGGCAAATCGGGAATGCCGATCAGACGCCCCTTTACGTCGACATGCCTGGCACCACAATCGTCGAGAAGAAGGGGGCGAAGCAAGTTCGCGTGCTGACATCAGGCCACGGTAAAACTAGAGTGACGGCAATGCTCCGTTGCACGTCAGATAGGCACAAGCTTCCCCCGTACCTCATATTTTAACGGCAGACGCTCCCGAAAGGAGTCTTCTTCCCGAGTGGTGTGATTGTGCGGGTGAACGAGAAAAATGGGTGCGCGTTGCAATCGATTTCTTAAATTTTTTTTTTTCGTCGTGGAAACCGGGTGCGTGTTACAATCGATGGCGCCGTAGGATCGAGTAAATACGGTACTTGTTAGCAATGATATCTTACTACACGCTCTTCCAATTTCGATAGCTTGTGGCCGTGCTCATGTGTAACACATACGTGATATGAAAAGACACCCTCATTGCGCTTTTTTCGTGCTTCGAACTAGACGTTTGCAACTCACCTGCAACTCACAACAATTCCCTGACATGCTGACCGACAAGCACACGTTTATTCATGCTCTTTTCTTTCGCCATTCTTTTAAAGGTGGTTTTTATCTTGATAGTTTCACGAAATTATTCAAACTGGTGCGATGATCAGACGCGATGAGCCACGGCTGGGCTTGACTGCACCTGCAAGCGCTAGCCCGGCCCTAGCCCGGCCATGGACGAACGAGCGCGTTTCTGCACTTGGGCGCCAGTAGGCGCCATGATAAGAACACTCGAATCGTACCCGTCATCGCTACTAGGGCATCGTCACTCAGGATGGTATTTGTGGAATGTATCACACCGAACACGTAGCACTAAAGTTGATGTC